CTAGTACTGTTGGTTTTACAATCTGGCTGTGTACTAGTACTGTTGAATTTACAATCTGGCTGTGTACTAGTACTGTTGGTTTTACAATCTGGCTGTGTACTAGTACTGTTGGTTTTACAATCTGGCTGTGTACTAGTACTGTTGGTTTTACAATCTGGCTGTGTACTAGTACTGTTGGTTTAGCAATCTTGCTGTGTACTAGTACTTCAGTATTTGTCAAACAGACATATTTACGTAAGGAATGCTCCTGTTTCAGTTACGTGTCAGTCGCGAATGATTTAACCACACAACAATTTTAATTATGTTGCTGAGCCAAATCCTCGCGATTTATCTAATACATTACAAGATTTGACAAGTATATACAATAATAATAAACGAACACAATCATGTGGGAAGGGCTAATCTTGGGGCTTGTGTTAATCCTAGTTTGCAAATATATCTTTTTACTATCAGTTTACTTTTACACAGTGGCGTAACGAGGTCGGGTGTCACCGGGAGCGGTACCTAATGGTGTCAACCCCCTCCCCCGGTAAGAAAAAAAAACATAAATATACTTATATATATATATATATATATATATATATATATATATATATATATATATATATATATATATATATATATATATATATATATATACTAGCCGTCCCGGCCAGGCCCTGCTCTGGCTTCTGTGAAAAACATTTCTGTTAAAGACCATTACCTGTGTGTTTAGTAATCATCATAAACCCGGCATTGCCCACCCAAACCACAACCAACCAAAACAACAAAACGCAAACATAACGCTAACACAATTACAAATACAAACGAAAACAAAAACCTAACAACAAACCCAGCCACAACCACAAACACCAATACAAACACAAAGAAAAAACAAACAAAAAAGCAAACGAAAACAAAAACCTAACAACAAACCCAACCACAAACACATATACCAACAAAAAAAAAACAACGAAAAAGCAAACAAAAACAAACCAAATCCAAACGCAAAACCAACCAAAAACACAAATACAAACCCAAAGAAAAAAACACAAACAAAAACGAAAAAAGAAAGAACAAAAACGAACCAAATCAAAACGCAACCACTAACGCAAACCCACCTAAACACAAGAAAACACTAACGCGAACATAAACGCCCGGGGCGGAATCACCTGTTTTAGCTTAATGAACGACTATAGTACCCCAACTTATTCATAGTCTTTTGCACTCACTTAAACGAACGCGCCTGTTTCAATTTAATGAACAATTTTAATACTCCAAGCTTATCCGTAAAATACCTACAACATTTGCACTTGATCAATCCCCGCTAATTATGTAATTATTTTTTTCCCAACACCAAAACAAAGTAATTAAAAAGTAAATTATTTTCGACTAATGCAATGGTTTTATAAAGGGAAGTAATTGTGTTTTCCTAATTTATCAAAGGGAAGTAAGTGCTATAGGACTAAATAAAGACATAATTAGAATTTTTGTAAAAGATGATATTTTTTAAAAACTTTTGTTTAATGAACATGCCGACAATTATTACTATAATTTGAAAAATGAAAATTATTTCCCAACACTTTCAATAGTAATTTTTTAACTCATAAATTTAGAGAAATGCGCACGATAATATTATAACACTTTAATCCATCCATCACCAACGACAAACATATGCATTACATACAGAACTGAGCTTTATATATATATATATATATATGCCTTTGTGTCAGTGTGTCACCCCCATAAATGGTGTCACCCGGTGCAGTCCGCACCCCCCCCTCGCTACGCCACTGCTTGTACAAAAGGCTTAGTGTAGAAATATTAATTATATGCAGGTAATAATTAATCATTTAATTAAGTGGAGTTATATTTTTCCTGTAAATATTTTGCTAATTTTTGCCTTGGTGTAACCCGCATAACTGGTGTCACCCGGTGCAGTCCGCACGCCCCCCCCCCCCCCCCCCCTCGACACCTGTGATCCACATTACATTTATATTGCAACATAACATTCAGCAATCAAAGTAAGTCTACACAATATCTACACAATGTATATTGTGTGTACCTGCATAATGAAAACAAAAGAATTGTATCGTGCCTTATTAACTATAAGCAAAGGTGTCTGTGCTCCGAACTAGCGTGACTCTATTTGTTACAGTTGAATGCATTATATATATATATATATATATATATATATATATATATATATATATATATATATATACATATATATATATATACATATATATATATATATATATATATATATATATATATATATATATATATATATTATATATATATATATATAATATATATTATATATATATATATATGTATATATATATATATATATATATATATATATATATATATATATATATATATATATATATATATATACATATATATATATATATATTTAAAGTAATGTATGTGTGTGTATCTTTGTATCTTTGTGTCTGTGTGTCTGTCTTTTATGCATTACTACACCTTTGTGTCTGTGTGTCTGTGTGTCTGTTTTTTATGCATTACTACACCTTTCATCGGACCGCCATGAATCTTTAGGAAGTTGTTGAGAATACACCTGGGGGGGGTTTATGCAGAGAAAAAAAATTCAAATTCTTAGAGGTGGCGCCCCGGAAGGGCGCGACTTGTGTTTTCTCTAGATACGGTATATAAAAATAAAAGGCGATTGCGGTTTGATACCGTTCATCCAATCATCATCAAACTTTGGGGAGTTGATTAAAACACTCCAGTTAAGGTTTCTGCAGAAAAATCTTTATTAATTTCGGAAGGGCGGCGCCTCGGCATTGTGCGATTCTTCTCTATACACGGTATATTAAACAAATTAAAGTCTGATGCGTTTTAACACCGTCTATGCACTTGCCATAAAAAAGTTTGGAGAGTTGTTGAATACTCCTGAGAAGGTTTCTGGTAGGGGGAGAGTTAATTTCGCACGTGCGCCCGGGTCTTTTGATTTGGCGCCCCGGTCTTTCCCGTGAACGCTAAGACGCTTGCGTTTGTTTTAAACAGTGAGATAGACAATAGATAAGATGGGGCGCTATAGTCATTCACTAAATTGAATCAGCGCGTTTGCCGACGTTCAGACAGGGTGCAATTTGCCGCCCCGAGCTATCCCGTGAGCACTAAGGCGCCTACGTTAGTTTAAAACATTGCGAAAGAATTTGCATAAGTTTGGGTTTTAGAGTCGTTTACTAAACGTAATCAGGCACGAAATCCAGCGCCCCGGCAGTGTGCGATTTTGCGCCCCGGGCTTTTTGGGGCGGTAGTGTAGGAAACCCGTGCCTCGATAAATATGATCCAAGCCCAGGCATTGTTTACATTTAAATAACTCTGTTTTAGAAAACTTGGTCACGCATTTAAGAACATATGATTGGTAAAGCAATGAAATCCTTCTAATATATTTCATCAGACTTTATTTGTCTTTTATGCATTGCTACAACTTTTATCAGATCTCCATGAAACTTATGGAAATTGTTGAGAATACTCATTGGGAGTTTTCTGAGAAAAAAAATTTCAATTTTGCACGCCAGGGTGCAATTTGGAGCTCAATGTTACCCAATTAGTGTTACAGACTATGATTAAGTTGGGGTGTTAAAAATATTTCGTTAGACTTTATTCTATCTACGCGGCAACGCGCGGGGACGGGCACATTAGTTCATAATATACGAACAGCAAGTTGATTGATAATATCTGTATTTCGATGGTGTCTAGTTAGGACTAGTTAGGTTGTAAGCTAATAAGGTTAGGTTAGGTTAGGTTAGGTTAGGTTAGGTTAGGTTAGGTTAGGTTAGGTTAGGTTAGGTTAGGTTAGGTTAGGTTAGGTTAGGTTAGGTTAGGTTAGGTTAGGTTAGGTTAGGTTAGGTTAGGTTAGGTTAGGTTAGGTTAGGTTAGGTTAGGTTAGGTTAGGTTAGGTTAGGTTAGGTTAGGTTAGGTTAGGTTAGGTTAGGTTAGGTTAGGTTAGGTTAGGTTAGGTTAGGTTAGGTTAGGTTAGGTTAGGTTAGGTTAGGTTAGGTTAGGTTAGGTTAGGTTAGGTTAGGTTAGGTTAGGTCAGGTCAGGTCGGGACAGGTCAGGTCGGGACAGGTCAGGTTTAGTCAGGTCAGGTCAGGTTTAGTCAGGTTTAGTCAGGTCAGGTCAGGTCAGGTCAGGTCAGGTCAGGTCAGGTCAGGTCAGGTCAGGTCAGGTCAGGTCAGGTCAGGTCAGGTCAGGTCAGGTCAGGTCAGGTCAGGTCAGGTCAGGTCAGGTCAGGTCAGGTCAGGTCAGGTCAGGTCAGGTCAGGTCAGGTCAGGTCAGGTCAGGTCAGGTCAGGTCAGGTCAGGTCAGGTCAGGTCAGGTCAGGTTAGGTTAGGTTAGGTTAGGTTAGGTTAGGTTAGGTTAGGTTAGGTTAGGTTAGGTTAGGTTAGGTTAGGTTAGGTTAGGTTAGGTTAGGTTAGGTTAGGTTAGGTTAGGTTAGGTTAGGTTAGGTTAGGTTAGGTTAGGTTAAATTAGGTTAGGCTAGGCTAGGTTAGAATATGTTAGGTTAAGTTATATGGGTTGATTAGATTAAAAATGTCATCCCCATCTTAGGCTACATGTACATTTCGACGCCGCTGCTTAGACCATTTTGATTGGTTGCCCGACATCGTTTGTGGTTGCCCGACATCGTTTGTGTTTATAAACTTCTCATGTGCCACGTCAAACGTTCAACACTTCCATTGCTTCTCGTCAAGTTAACGTCGGGTAAATATTGTTTCACACACATTTTATCTCCTCAACATTATTCTAAAAACTTATTCTTGAGTTTATATGTCATCATGATCTGAACTTATCAAATAATTTCATTTTTTGTGAACGAATGTATTTATACGTTGTTAGGTCTAATATATTAAAACTTCACTGCCATTCGAGTTCATTTTTATTCGTCATTTCCATATTTGTATTTTCCGTTGATAAATTGAACGTCATAAAATTCACATTTTTGTGTTACAGAATCTATCGCAAAATTTTAAAAATCACTATTTAGACTGAAAAATGAGCATCAAAACCATAGGATTGCTAGTTGTGCTTGCTGGTCTTTGTTGTTTGACCGAAGAAATGGTTTGTACTTATTTTCCAATGACTTTTTTATACAACACTACGAAATTCGATTTATATGACCACAGGGGCGTAGCGAGGGGGGGGGGGGGGCGGGGGGTGCGGACCGCACCGGGTGACACCATTTAGGGGGGTGACACCAAGGCAAAAAATAGCAAAATATATAGAAAAAACTCGAGGGGGGGGTGCAAATCGAAAGTTTGAGGGGGGGGGGTGGGATTGCAAATCGAAAACTTGAGGGGGGGGGTTGCAAATCGAAAGTTTGAGGGGGGGAGGGGTGCAAATCGAAAATTTGAAAGTTTGTCCCTGGGAAGGGTCTCTATGCCTCTGGGGGGGGGGGGGGTGACACCATTAAGTGCCGCACCGGGTGACACCCGTCCTCGCTACGCCACTGTATGACCATCAGATCTGCAACAAGGGGTGGTGAATAGTATAACATTCCGGTAAAAGCATCTTGGGAGTGTGCATGAAGCGATCTTAAGGTCTCTGGCTTTTAGTATAAATTTGTTTCTATACATTGTTAATTTCCTTCATAATACCAATCATAATCAGTAAAGAAACTCGATCTGATGATCTCCAGGTTAGTAATCGATTTACTGCTGGTGTCGGGCCAGTGAGCACTATGCTGCCTGTATTAAAAAACTATAGAACATCTAGATTGTTAATGTGTGTATAAATATTCATAATTTGATTATCAAAGTAGTTGAATCGATAACTAAAAAATAGTGATTCGATTCATTACAACGTAGACTTCATTTGAAATGATAAAACTTAAATATTTTCAAATCACCATAGAATTTTAAAATATTGTTTTTTAATTGTTATTACACCATTGATAGACATTACCAATGTATCAGCTTGATCAGTAATAATGAATACAAGTAGATTATTTACATGTGTAGGTAACTGTTATATACTGATAATTCAACAACAAGGATTCGAACCATTTTAATCAGATAAATTTAAAATGATAAACGTAAATAATACATTAGTAGACATTATCGATGCATTAACTTGATCAGTAATGATGAATACAAATAGAATATCTAAAAGCTTGATCATGTATTTCACCCCGATCTACCACTGTAAATATTATGTTTTCCACTGATTAAAAAAATTAAAATGGTCTAAAGATTCTATTGAATTCTTTAAAAAAAGAAAAACAAAAACGAATAGTTATAAAATCAATGATTTGAGATAATAAATGAGTTTTAAAAATATTGCTTTTGCGCCTTCAACGTCTTCTTTTTCACCGTTCTTTATTGTAATGTTGGACGGGGGTCCCTCAAACACAATTAAGTATTTCGTGTTAACTGGTTATGCGTAGGCCATGTAAGCCGTTGACTCAAATTTCTGCCTGCTCTTGATTTTTGGACTTGCTTTCATAACCTTTGTCCAACCAAGAACCAACTACAAGGCAGCAGTTGTCTGATTTTGGTGTTGTCTACCCAAAATATGGTAGAAGATTATAAATTCATTCTCTCTTGAGTTTTAAAAATATTATACTTTATAAATATACAACTAGAATAGTTCAACTTTGCATTGCAAATAGATTTAGTTTGGCCACTGGCTCTTATCAAATTCCTTTGTACATGCGAATCCACATGCTCGGCATAGGCAGTAAGAAGGGATTCTAATTTTAACAAATAAATCGCAGATCGTATCATTAGATCAGTCACCAGTAGAATACTTGGCCACGATATAGAAAAAAATTCAGTCCATGACGCGCCTAAATACACGATCAACGCGCGCCTGTATGGGTGGCGTTAACACAATATATGGCGTAAGTAGGAAATGAATAACACACTGAACCCATGGAGTTCCATAAAATCAGGCTAAAAACCATGTTTTAAGGTTTTAATAATATCATTTTTCTTAAAAAGAATTATACTTGTTTATTTTTTGTTTAAATTGTTAGAGTCTCGGCTCTGATGCACTGACTGGTCGAGACGCCGGATTACAAGGCCCTGATATGAACCAAGTAACGGACGTAACTCAAATCTCAGACCAGCTCTCCAGTAACAACATGGAGAAGAGGTCTATAAAATGCATACTAAGCCCTAGTTTGTGCAAATAAAACTTAACGGGTTCTTCGTTGTTTATTTTTAATTTATTATCATTAAAATATTACAAGTTGCATACCAACTATTTGAATTGACAGGTTTTCACGTTTTATATACAAGAGTAGCGATCTCTTTAAATTTTTCTCGATTATTCTTCTATAACAGTGAGGTATATGGAACTTTCAGTGCAATCTGGTTATAGAAATGTGTTTTATTGTTTATAAAAAATATTTTAATATTAAAAAAAAAAAAAGAAAATTATAGAATGAAAACTTCAAACCATATATTTTCTGAAGGTCTGGTAAATCATAGGGATAGATAACTTTGCTATGGATAATATGGCAGTTTGTATCATTACAAAACTGTCGGGCATCTCACACTACCAAATGCCTGCTTAAAATCAGCAAATGTTATACACAGAGAAGATTGATGCTCAATATACTGAAATACAATTATGCATGTTATAGATATTTGGTCAGTGGTGGGTTCTTCTGTCTAGGGACATTCAGATCAACATAACATATAGCGCTATATACAACAGTAACATTATTGATTTTACTAAATAACAATAAAGAATTTAGTATATATATATATATATATATATATATATATATATATATATATATATATATATATATATATGCATATATATATATATATATATATATATATATATATATATATATATATGCATATATATATATATATATATATATATATATATATATATATATATATATATATATATATATATATATATATATATATATATATATATATATATATAACAGTGATAAAATCTATAATATAAGGTTTACGACACAACTTACGATACACAATACTTAGCAGACTTGTCTACGTTCTCTCAAACTACATGTCAAAAAACTGCCACACAACATAGCACACGTTATGTCACCCTTGAACTGACAATCATCACGTGAACACATTTCGTTCTATGTCAACACACTCAACCAAGGGCTACAACTGTATACAAATAAGAGGGTACCTCTCGTTGGAGCATACAACACACACACACACACACACACACACACACACACACACACACACACACACACACACACACACACACACACACAGGGAACGCTACATGTCAGGGACGTAACTGTCAGTGCATGACATGTTATAGTGAACACATTTGTGGTCTAGTTTTAATTGTCCGACTCTCCTTCAGCACCTCAAGCTTAGTTCTCTTGAGTACAAACTTGCTAGAGACAGACACTTGCATTATTCATCTCCTATTGTTTTATTGAGAGAGGTCATATTCCGTCTGTAGCTTTACTAGCTATCGCAGTTTCAATTTCGGAGGGAATAGTTCGTGTTCCAAAATCGTCAGCAGGAGTGGCTGTAAGATTTCTGCTGTTACATATGATTTGAGTACCTCTGGTAGGGTTCCATATGGTCCAGCTGACTTACAGCTCTTAATTTTCTCGACGGCTTTAACCTTAGTCAGTAGACCTGTATTCACCTTTATCAGTTCTGATGCTGGTGCTTTGTCTGGAATAGTTGTTGGGGGTGGTTTATTTAACATCTCCTCTAAGTGCTGGACCCAGCGGTCTCTCTGTTCTGCATCACTTGTGACAGTTTTCCCATATGTTTGTGTCCTGCAGAGTTCTGCTGGGGTTTGTATTCTTGCCTGAGAATGCTCTTGTAATTCAATACAACCTTTATACGTTTCCTTGTCATGCATCCACCTCAGGTTTGTCTGTCATTTCTGTGAATAAATAATTGAAAGAATGTTCGTCTTTACCTTTGTTTTAATTAAGATTTTAGGGTTGAATTAGTTCACCAAAGCACTCATTTATTTGTTTCTTTTTTATTTTTGTAAAATAATTCATTTTGGTTTGAATTACTTTGAATTACTCCAAACAAGTACAGTGAATTTAACACTATAATGAAGAATGAAGAAGAAGAAGAAGAAGAAGAAGAAGAAGAAGAAGAAGAAGAAGAAGAAGAATTGACCTTGACATATATAAGAGAGCGATATTGGAATAACGTGGACATGCTACTGGGTTTAAAATAACGAATTTAGCTTTGAAATAACATTGTAAAATATTAGGAGAAAACAAAAAATAAATAGGCAACAGCAAGTGAGGTGGTGGACCACCTTTCTTGATACCCCTATAGAAATGTCTTCAGAGTGACCATGACAATAATAACACTGGCATAGACTTATAATTCGTGATAAATACAGTAAAGTTGTGTACTAAGAAAAGTATCCATTGCAATGCTACTGAGTACCCACATCAGCGGTATTATATTGGCATTTAGAACCGACGGCAGTGTCATTGAGTACTCACATCCTCAGCAATGAGTACCAACATCAGTTCACTGAGCACCCACAGATTCAGCACTAAGTACCCACAGCAGTGATACTAGGTACCCACAGCAGTGATACTAGGTACCCACAGCAGCTGCATTGAGCATGGAAGAATATACAACGGCACAACACTGTCATTTAGGACAGTACTTGTTCACGTGCTTTGTGCGTATAGCAAATATAGGTCAAATTAGAAATATGAGATGACCCACGGGGTAGCATACGCTGAAATTTAGTTGTTTTATTTTCTACTTTTAAGTAATTCATAATTTGTGAATTCGATGCTACCAATGCTGTGACTGAAATTTGTTTGCTATAGAACATTATCAGTAGCTCGGGAAGGACGATTATCCTCACTCTAACATTCCACTCCTCCCCCCCCCCCCCCCGGCCCACGTGAAAGTTTTAAAGTCGACAATGAAAAGATCAAGTAAAACATATTACCTACACTTAGTTTCAATCGTTTAATACCTAAATTGTCTGCCCCTAATAGGGCTGGTAAGTAGGTCACCAACCAGTTCTACGGCTCAATAAAACTTGCATGAGCCATAGAACTGGTTGGTGACCTACTTACCAGCCCTATAGCCGTCACTAATTCGACCCGGCTCTACAATTGTAAATAGCTCACCAGACTGGTGGGGTGAGTGTGGCAGGTATATGGTCTGTTGAGCTTGCCTGGAGAGCGAGAGAGGGGGTAGTTAAGTCTTGTCCTGCATGGTCCTTCCATTAAAATAATTATTTATATATAGATGCGTCTTTATTAGTTGACCTTGAATAAAAGTTCACGAAAAGGGCGTAACCATGGACAACCAAGGATACATACATTGAGGAAGTTCTTTCGTAGTTGTGTGTTACTCTAGTGTTGAAGATCCCTAAAAACAACAATGTTTCAAAGTACCCTTTTATAAGAGGTATACAATGAGCAGGTGCAGCAGAGTTATGTAACTCTATGCCTGCGCAACTAAAACTGTAGTTTTCATGAATTTTACAAGTGAGTCTACACCTCATTGCATATGTTTAGTTTGTGATATTCTTATGCTTACGCGTGGAGATTCAGAGAAACACGTGTCAGTAAAAGTAGACAAATGACCCGGACTAAACTTTTTGTTATTACTGTTTGGTTTATTAGTGCCTGATGTCGCGAATTTGCGACATACCGTAATTAGCTTAAAAAATATGTCCAAATTTCAAAACAAATATATATCTTAAATTCAAGGTCAGTAAGGTAACACAAAAATCAGCCCAAAGAACTTTTTACACGATTGGAACATAATTCAGACATTAAGGGGATTAACCAACATATTTTAAAAACTATCTTTACGCTAGCTGCTAAAAATTTCCCAAATTTAGCCGTCATAAGAAAACAATTTCATCTTATTTTGGATAAAAAATAACAGAAAAATAAATAAAGACAAGAATACTGATTAATGCTGGGATAAGTTTATAAACATGTAGGTTAAAAGCATGGTATCAGGTCACAAGGATGAAATCGCAACTTCGCAATTTCGCTTTGTTGCTGCTGGCTCAAGATTTCGATAGCGTTCTTTAGTTTGGCCATCAGTGAGTTGTCGTTCTTTGTTTTTTGTTGTATTAAATCGAACACATGGAATGGTTCAGAATAGATCGTAGGCCGTGTCTTCAGCTGCAGATTCTGGAACAATAAAAACATAAAATGTGTTGAAATAGTTTGAAGCGGGATGAACAAGGAGGTGACATTGACTTTAACATGATAATCTATGTACATAAAGCAAAGTTATCGGGTGCCCTATAGGCAAATTTGGCAGGATCCAGCCTTGGGGCAATAAAACACAAGGGCCGCTGCATGTTGACTGCAAAGTCTACGATGAGGGAGTCAAAACTGACTTCGACTGACCGGCGCCTTATATGAGCTACATATCGAAAAAAATGTCCCTTCATAACTCCTGAGGTCGTAGACCGACCCCAGGGGGTGGCAAAAAAAAAAACAAAACTTTGATATATTCGGGAAAACCGAAAGACCTTTAGAACTGACCGGTCCGAATTTTCCCTATATAAACATTGTTAATTTTCTGAAAAAAAAAAGATGACTATTTTCAAAACAATGTTTTGGAACTTTGGCTCAGTAAATCTGGCTCATTTTTTCCATAAACCTGGAAAAGTGAATCGGCCTTATGGATATAGTATCGGTCAGCCTCTGCCCGCACGGCTAGGGCTTAAAAGTGACCGCCAGTAAAATTCTGCTTATATAAGTTATATATATCAAAAACATTTCCCACGTAGGAATCCTTTAAAACCTCTTGGGGTAGTACATCGGCGCTTGGGGATCAGGAAAAAATAGTGCTATCCTCAGGAAAATTCAGGAACAATGTTTTAACTGACCAGAGGCCACATTTCCTTATATAAACATAGTACTGTTTTTGTAAAAAAAAAATTATAAATACAAATTTTTTCAAAACAATGTTTTGTAACTTTGGCTCTGCACATTTGGCACGTTTTTTTGCAGAGCTGAGTAAATGAATCGGCCTTATGGATAATCTATTGTCAGCCTCTGACATTTTGCTTACATCAGCGCTTACATTAGCGATATATACAAATAATTGCAAAACGATCTCCCTGATATTTTTTGAGGTCGTAGACCGACCCTGGAAAAAAAACCATTATGGTCGTTAAATATGTCACGGTGCCGTATTTTCTTATGTAAGCATAGCAA